CATACAGTAATTATCCAATAGGAGGCTCGTCCCTATTTGCTTAGTTGAATCCAGGTGGCAACGTTTTTTTTGGACAGGCAGTGTATATTTATATGTTGTAAAAATACAACATATAAAATGAAACGGTTTATAGAAATACAGAAAATGTACACAGTAGGCTTGATGGGAAATAAAATACTTTATGAGCTGGTAAAAAAAATTACAAATAGTTTAAACATCACTTAGATAATAGAATTGCTTGCATTTTCAAACTTTCGACAAGTTTAGTAGATTATACTGAGACTGGAAATAGGAGGCAAAACAGGCATCAAGCTGGTCCACTGATCTGTCTCTACTCAAGCACACTTGATTCAAATGATTGCTTTACCTCCTCGGAAGCCATCAAATGATGCAAAAGCCTGTTAATCACCTTTCCATTCAGGTCAGGTGTGTGGAGACAGGGAAACACCTAAATGATAGAGGACAAAAACAATGATGTTTCCATGTGGATGTAATTCTCCCCCTTTGGAACAAGCAGTTCCCCTCTAAACCAGAGGGTGGCAGCAGTGCTACTCTTAAGTGGAATGTCTAAATTAATCCGACACTTTAATTCATATGTTATCCATAAACGGACAAGACATATATTGCAATTAATTATTAATATCAATATACTATCTTTAAAGATAGTATAAAGTAAAGTAAAGATAACAAATACAGAAATATTGCTCCTTTTTTATGTTTATAATTTGCTTCATGAGAGAAGAATGGATGTGATGTTAAATTATGTCACGTTTAATTATGTTTTTCTGCAGCCATCTAGTCTACATGGAAATAGCCCATTTACTGTGTATTTTATGCAAAAACATAAATAATTAATTTAGACAACATATATGTATTAATATTTGTGTAGAGTTCTCAGGAAGGGCTTCATGAAAACCCAGGACGTCTTTGGTCATTTCTTTAGATAACAAAATGCTGTTTCCTATTTGCGCTGTATGGTAAAATCAGATGGAGTTTGAATTCAGCGCCCGCTTCCTCCAAAGGCCAGATTGTGTCATAGCTCAACATCGTGGCCTGTTTGGATTGGAAGACTCCTCATTTTTTGGGTGACAAATGCAGCTCCTGCCTTTTGCCCGTTTTCAAGGAGAGGTCCATTGTATCCTCCGTAGCCTTCCGTATCCCATGATTCATTATGAGTCCAAGCAAGCCTGCAGCTCCGAGCTCAGAGGTAAAAGGTGTCGAACAGTGGTAAATATTGTAAGTGCAGTTTAATATAATACAATTATGCAAATAGTTTCATCTTAAATGAATAAAAATAGTCAATTTTAAATAGTTATTTAGTCCGATATGTGGCAGGTAATGTTTGGTTTATTGAAAGGTGCATACGAGTCAAAGACATAAACCACATCACCATGGACTCTTAAAAAGTTAGATCATCCTCAATAACTTTTGTTAGAATTAAACTAAACATTCTTTTTTATCTTTTTTTTAAGATGTTTTATAAAAAGGGCAGATCTTTATTTGATCACAAATTTTCAGCTCGACATCTCAGTTCATAGAATCTATAGTTTAGATGAAATTTTAAAATTATACCTTCCAAACACCACATTTAGACCTTGGTTTTTAGGCTAAATCTGGTCGGTCCGTCATAGTCTTGAGTTTGAACAGAAACGTTCATTAATACTTGGGCTGTTTGGTCTGTATAATTAAGTCGCACTTTAGTTCAAAAAGAGACATTGAAAAGTTGTTGAAAACATGTTTAACATCTGAAAATTGCAGATTTTCACCTTTTACTTTACAACAAAATGTAGATGTTTGAATGTATATCATTTTGTCTTTTCAATATATTTTCAAACAATAGTTTATCAGTGGCATATTTAAGGGAAGATTTGAATATCTCTGCAGTGTGAGGACTATAAATCTGATATCCCCAATGACAGTACAACTGCTGAACCTCATCAAAAATGTAATTAGCATACAGAACAGTATTGAGAAGTTCGGTATCCATTCTTTGACTGCTGTTCCAACTGTCATGGTTGCTAGGCGACAGAGTGTACACCAAGTGAGGGGCGATAACAGCTGTAGAAGGTTGTTCTGTTTGATCCATAGCCAAACTTTTCCAGTCTGCTTTTTTTCACACACCTTGAAGCACCCAGTCCAGGTAGACCCAGGGTGTGTTCGATTTCAGAGGATGCATCCTTGAAGGACCTGGTCTATCTGGACTGAGTCCTTCAATGTCCATGAAAAAAAAAAGCCCGGAAGAGTTTTGACAATGGATTTAAACAAGTCCAGCCTTCTCAGACTTCCATTACCCATACACTCTGTTGCCTAGCAACTGTGAGAGTTGACACACAAAGCAGGCAAAGAATGGATACCAAACTTCTCACTACTGTTCTGAGGGCTAATGACATTTTCAAGGAGCTTCAGCAGCAGTTACGTTATCGCCAATATCAGATTTATCTATGGTCTCCACAATGCAGAGATATTGGAATCTGTGCTTAAATGTCAGCCAAACCCATTTACACAGGGACAGACAAAACATTTCAATAAACCAAACATTACCCGCCATAACCATTTAAAATGGAATATATTAAACTGCAGTTAAATGTTCACCAGTTTGGCATTTTCCATTCTTCTTCCTAGCTTGGGCGATTGTAGTTAAGATCAGGTTCTTGCAAATGGCGTTATGGAACTGATGATTCATTTAAAAGTGTTCTAAACTGACCTCTGGATTTATGGTGTGAATGAATGTGGTGGCACAGGCTTTGAGTGAGTTTATGTATTTTTTCCACCTTGGTTTCCTTGGATTCCTTTGTCCTGAGGTTAGTGTATTAAGCAAACTAAGAGTTTCGTAAGTCCTTCAAATCTTATGCAACCACATGCCAGGGGTGACCATTTTCTGAGATATAAAACCCATTGTCTTTAGATTTGTAGTCCACCCCTCCTTTTTGAAATAGGATTGGAGCAGCCATTTTACGAGTTTCATAACCTACGGTACGCCCACATTTGTGGTCTAACCCTCCCCTTTTGGTCACGTGACAAGAGCCACCATCTTGTGAGACTCACAACCTCCAGTGTTTTTCCAGCGTTGTTGCTCCACATCCTTTGACCACATGGTATGGGTTTGCCATTTTGTTTATGACTCATTGAACATTAACCATGTAGGCTGAATTACTTCCCACTGTTTTTAACTGCACCTATTATTGCTCATTATAGCTGCTGCTATTTTTGAAAGAACATCATAATTTTATTATTTGTATTGATGTGGCACCGAGAGGTGCAATCATCTAAAAAAAAAAAAAATACATAAAACCAAACAGACTGCGGCGATTGTGAGCAGACAAAAGACGAGCTCGCTAAAAATGTTCAATAAAATACGTTAAAAGGAAGAGCTAAAAAAGAAGGGATTAAAAGAAAATAAAAAGATAAAAATGCAGGGCATCGGAGCAGCAGAGTCAATGAACTAGCCCTGAGATACGCTCCACCTGGCACGATGGAGGGCGCAGTCCTTCCTCCAACACGCGGTCCTCTCGCCAGCATAGCTGGGCGTGTGGGCCTCGCCAGCATAGCTGGCACCAGTGAGGTCTCCTCCAACACGCGGTCCTCTCGCCAGCGTGCCTCTGTGCCGCTCTCCATTGCGCCGCTCTCCAGTGCGCCGGTCTCCAGTGCGCCGGTCTCCAGTGCGCCGGTCTCCATCGCGCCGCTCTCAATCCTGTCTCCAACACACTGGGCCGCTCTCTCTCTCTCTCTCTACAACACGCTGGGCCGCTCTCTCCTTCTCTCCCTCGCTCCAGCGCGCCTCAGCGCCACGGTCCAGTACGCCCGCTCCAGTGCGCCTGCGGCAAACGGTCACTAGAAATGTCCTGATGCTTCTCCCTCACCCGCTCCGTCCGGCTCCCTCCATGATTGGCCTCGGCCCTCCATGTCTGGTCTCTGCCTTCCCATGTCCAGAGTCTCTCTCCAACCAAACAGCTGCCTTTTTAATCAGCGTCCCAGTCGGCACGCTGCTTGGTTGATGGGGAACACCTATGCCATTGCTGTGGGCGTGTCCAGGTGTGAGTGGTAATGTGGCCTCCAAACAAAATCCAAAAAAAAACATGCAATACACAAAATTGAAAAGAAGCAAACAAGTTCAAAAACAAACAAAATCCACAAACTAGAAAACATGCAACAACTTAACAAAAAAGGCCACATTACCACATTGACATTTGGCCTACCTTGGACACTCCCCAGAAGCTGATTACATGGAGTCTTAGACCCCTTTATCCCCTCTTCCCAAATTATTTCTGTAATCTACCTCATGTTTATCTTCTAGTAGTGTGTAGTGTTTACATAAATGTTAAATTTCCTATATTCCTGATTGTTAGATCAGGATTATAGGATTGTTAGAAATAAAGACATCATTATTTTAACCTGCAGTAGTTTGTGTTTTTTGTACAGCGATTGGTTATCACTCTGGCCAGACTGACCCCCCTTTTGGTGACATTTAAATAAATAGAGACACATTTTTTTGGTTGATAATTAATAACTATGCTGATAGCCTAGCCTAAGTCACTAACTTGGTTGGGATAACTGGATTTTAACAGCCGGGGAAAAGGCCACTCACAATGCGAGAGGCCAAAAATCCTGGTGAGTAAGCAGATTACAGTTATAATTATCAACTAAGAACATTCAATTGGTTTTACCATTGTTTTTTAATGATCGGTCAATTAACTACGACTCCCAGTTCTAGTCAATCGTATGTTCGTAATCTACAGGTAAAATATCGCAACATCACGTTGTAGCAAGATGTGTGCCTCCTACAGAAACAATAAAAAATGCTCATAGAATTGGTTGCCTGAGTAGAAATGTGAAAATAAAATTTCTTTGCATCTCCGAGACATTTTGTGTATTTTATGCATTACATATGAATAAAATCTTAAAAAATGCAAAATAGAAAAATGAAATAGAAAAAATGTTTTATTTGAAAAAAAGAAACCACTGTGTTTCAATGATAAAGCACATAGATGATAAAGATTTACAGATTCAGGACTGTAGAACAAAAAAAAAAAAAAAAAACAGAACAACTGAAGAATAAAAACATTGTAAACATTTAACAGCAAATGACATAAGAAGTTTCAGGGAGAAAGATCCTCATATGTGAACATAGCATCCATTAGTTTAAAACTTGAAACAAAAATCTTATATATTGTTTTTCATCTGAGATTTGTATTGACAAAATCTAAATAGCAACATTTGCATGGATACTCCCTTTTATTATTTTTATGTACATTTGTCTTCAGCAAGAAGAAAAGAAAAAATAACGTACAAACACATTTCTTGTTGAATTGATTCACTGTTTAACTAATTAAATGGTCCTCTCCATGTTGCCTCCATAACTTGTTTGAAAGGTAGAGGTTCAGGGTTTTTTTGCCTCTTTTTTTCTCATTCCCTGTTATTGAGTCATGTCATTGAGTCAATATTCATTCTGGTATTGATTATTGGAGCATAATAAGAGATTAAATGAACCAGTGACTCAAGATACAATCAAAATAAAGGGACATATTTTTTATAAAGCATAATAAAAGAAGAAAATATTTAAAGCCTTAAAAAAATGTTTTCCCATAAAGAACGTTAGCAAAAGTATTAACACATTTAAACACATCTTTTTTTTTTTTATGAAAACACTGCAAAAAGCAATTCTACTACAAAAATAGGACAATGACAGCTGAAAAACAGCTATATACTTTCCCGTGTATCTCAAAATACTCATTAAGTATATTTGGGTGTAATTATCTTTAGGTGTTGGCTATTTATGTGCAGCTCTTAAACACATAAACAAGAGAACAACTTAGCCAACTTGTTTTTTCTTCCTATATGGGCTTTCCATTACTAACCTAATATACCCTTTAGCTCCTCCTAAAGGCTTCAGGTGTTCATGTTACAACAGTTTTCCAGGGTGGTGTTTAGAACAAACAAAAATAAGCAATCAAAAAGTAAATTACATCTGAATGCTGAATTTCCTATCATTTTTACAGGTTGTTTCTGTAATAAGTTCTATACAGATTAAATCTATTGCCAGATGAATCTCATGTGAGCTAAAATCTCAATCTTTTACACTGCTTTCAATGTTCAGCATATTTCAACATAGAAAATAATACATTTTTCACAGGGTTCCCTTAACTTTTGAAGTTTTACTCTTGTTTAACATTCTTTACACCCAAGCTTGAAATGGCACTCTTATCCAAAACAGCTTTTGTGGCTTTCTGAAATGCATCCCCTACAGTTTTTGCTTCTGCAGCTGCAGAGTATCCCATCAAACCTCCCTGTAGAACTCCACTTAGAGCGGCTTTAGGAACTGATTGCATGCCGTGGGCATCTGAGGATGGCAGTGGAACATCAGAAAGACCCAGAGTACCAGCGAGGGCTTTAATATGTTTGGCCATACCAAGGAAGGCCCCTAACACCGCACCTGTTGCAGTAGCCACTAGCCTTATCATTAATTCATTAAGCACAGTACTCTTAGCCCTGTCTCTCGTTGCCTTTGGTGATTGATTGGTTGACTGTCTAATTTTTTCCTCCTCTATCTCTATGTGCTTTTTGACTGCTTGCAGCATCTCATTAGTGTAGTACATTCCACCATTTGCCTCACTAATCTTGTCTATTGTTCTCAGTATCTCTGCCACTTGAATCTGATTGTTTCTGTAATTGTCTCCTGTGTTACGCTTCCAGTATTTATTGTCAACAACATGGCACCTGCCTCCACAGTTTTTCACCAGAGTGCTTAGTTCTTCATTGCGCTGGACAAAGTCCTCAATTCTCCATCCGTCTGGGAGCTGGTCTCCAAAGGTGAAGACTACAGCAGCAAATTTCAGAGCATCTTTGGAGAACTGTTCACATATTTCTTTTATTATATCTTTCTCCTGCTGTGTGAATTTCTCAACTTTAAGAACAATGAGAAAACCATGAGGTCCAGGAGCACACTCAGTGATGCATCTCACTATCTCTTCCTTAAGTAGGACTTCAGAGCCACATGTGTCAAAAACACTGTGAGCGTCAATCAGAGTGAGGTTCCTGCCATCAACAGACCTGGTTTCTCCACAAGAAAGACTTGTTTCAGAAGTGGGCGAATGGCTTATCTTGAAGATCTCCTCTCCAAATATGGTATTAGCCAAGCTGCTTTTGCCAGATCCAGTTTTTCCCAATAGGACAATCCTCTTCGAGTCAGAAACTACTGTAGAGGACAAGAATCGAAAAGGTGGAGAACATTACATTGTTTTTAACTCATGGGGTCCCTTTCAAGAAGCAGGTTAAATAAACTCAGATTCAAATCCTCAACACTAAATTAATCTAGCCTAAGGTCAGACATTCTGAGTTTTTAGTTTCACAATGACCACTATGAATTAGTTCAATCAACTTCAAGTAGGTCCACTAAGGGTTGAACACGTGCGTAAATAGTATGAAAAGCCATAATCAGTGGAGCCCAGATTCGATCAGTCACCATAAAGACAAGCAACAGGAAGTGCATATTTCACCCCACTGGAACGAGAGATTTAAATGAAAAAAAAAAGGGTGGTGAATGTGTTTTAAAGTCAGAGAAACAGCGCTACAGCTGTAAAGGAGAGGAAGATGGCAAAGGAGAAGATTGCTGCTCAACATTTATTAACATTTATTAAAAGCACTCTCCTCTCTGTTGTCCCATTTGTGGATCACTAAAATAATCACACTCATAGTCTCAACTGTAATAATACATTTTATAAATGACATTTTTGCACCTGCATTTGAATTTCAGAATTTCTTTTATATACCTAGAATTATAAGTGGCCATTTTTTTACATTCATCAACTTGACTGAATATATATTAATAATATCTGAAAAGCATTTCTTCATAGTCAAAATAATACAAATGCTGATTGTTAACAATAGGGATATGGAGATCTGGAATTAATTTCTAGTCATCCAGAATGTTTATTCTTCATGTTAAACATGTAATTTTGTTTGAAATGGTCATTTTGACGAGGAAAAAAGTTTTAATTTCAGATAGCAGGTATACCTATGCAGTCAAACTAATATATATCAAACCAGCTTGCCATAGCTGTTGTGAACACAATAACATTACAAATTTCTTTCTTGAGTGGTAGTGGATGAATCTATCTATTTAGGTAAAATCATCTTGCAGCAGGTGAAGATGAAGTCTAACAATGTTGTTTTAGTTCCTCCTCATGTTAATTCTATCTTCTATTACATACTTAATACCAAGTGGCTGTTTGCAGCTGCTTAGGATGTTATAAACCTAATAAATGGTCATTATTAGTAGTTATTAACTCCATTAAATGAGCAAATAAGTTTATATACATACAAAAACCTTATAAACCCCTCTACTACAAGTTATTTCAGGGCACAAATCTACAACTGAGCCCATGTTTGCCAGTTTTTAAATGCAATTCTGTTTTAATTTCTCACAAACACACAAAAGACTGAATTACTATTCACAGTCCTTATCCATGAACAAATTGACCTGATTAAGTTTGTGAACGGTTAGAAACATTATCGACTCAACAACTTTTTCTTTTATGTCAAAAAAACAAAAGACTGACAAAACAATATTTTGAAATGTTTCATGGTATAGGACTATATTCCGGTAAATGTAATTGGACAGTTTTAGATGTATGTAGCATCAACCAAGAAAGACAACGAATAACCAGAAAAACAGATCTGTTTTTAATTAAATAAAATGTCCCCTGATTTTACCCAGACATATAATATTTACAGTATATTTACAACTGACCGTCCATGTTTGAAAAGGGATCAAAATCCAGTCGAAGAGTTCTCAGCTGTCTTGCCTGTGCCGTATGTTGACTGGTTGTTGTCCTGTCACTTGTCATACTCCTGTTTTAATGAATTCTGGTTTGGCTGGTTGGGTAAGCTGTTTGGAACAAAACAATGTCACACAGTATGCGTGCAAGATGGTGTGCAGACCTAAAATATTATTTTTGTTTAACCACCATAAAACAGCACCTTTAAACAACAACAAACAAAAAAAAGTTTCAGATTTGTTAAAATTAAAAGATGATTGTTTTCGGATTCATTGCCATGTATTTTTATTATCTTTAAAATATTGTTTAAGATTAATGCAATACATGTAGCATTGAGTTTCATCACTCTTAGATATTTTCATTCTAATAAAAAAAAATGCAGCTGTAAGGTTTCTCAACTTTTTACGTTTGATTATAAGACTCCATTGATTAGCAAACCGTGATAGATTCTAATTTGGAGGCGGAAGCTAAAACTAATTGTTACATATATTATTGAGATATCGAGTGTTTTTGACTTTCAATCCATAGAAATCTGTTTCCTTTGCTTAATGAAGTTTTCTTTCTAATTGCATTTTCTCTGCATCTGCCAGTAGTGAACACTAATCTGCAGGTTTCACCACAGATACGCCAAAACACCTGTCATCTAAATTACATTTAAATCCAGAGTTATATGCCTGAAACACAATAAAGGTTCTAAAAGGGATGAAAAACTTCATTATGTGTAGCTGAATTGGGTCCTACTCTGTCACAGAGCATCTTACTTTTTATAGAATGGGTGAGGACATACTTTATAAAGAGCCTCCATGTTTGATGTTGGAGGGGCTTAACCAGTTCAGCCGGTTCAGTCTGTCTTCTTGGCAATAATTGTATAAGGTTTTTGGCTGCAGTTTTGCAATCAATATCAGGATATACAGTTGGTAGTAAATAAATCTATGGTGGCTTTTTGGAGATTTCTTATCTCCTTTACAAACTTCCTAAATTGTCTGAACATCTATGCACTGTTTTAACCCACCAATTATATTATTAATTGTCATAGTTTAAATGCCATTTTGTACACCATTGGCTTCTCAAACTCAAAAATCCTATTTGTTTAGAGCTGCATTTCACAATTAACTTTTGGGTTGTTTTTTTTTGTTTTTGAAACTATTAATTTCCATTGTTCAGTTTTTCTAACCTGGATTAAGTTTTCCTTTCTCATGTTTTCATCATTAAAATACTTTTCTTTTGTTTTGCCTTGTTATTAAACTATGTGACTTAACCTTACCAGTAAAATCTGCTGCACCTGTATGATTGGAAAACAACACCACCTTTTAATAAGTTTTAAGGGTGGTGCCAGTCTTCATGGTTTGTGAAAAGAATTATGAAATGAGAGGAGTGTATAATCTTCTCAAAGAGGTAACTGTACAAAGTGAGCCACAAAACAATAAGCCCAATGTTGTTGTTGAAAATCGTCCTGCGTGAGAACAGGAGGACAAAGGGACATCTCTTCATACCTAAGTAGGGTGGATTTTTTTTTCTATGTAGGCCATAAATTAAAGGATCACGTTGTCAAGAGAGACGGCAAGCTTCAAAGAAATAAATATGAAGCTCTGCAGATATGCAAACAAACAAAATCATGTACATATTCAATTACCGTAATAGGTTGAAGGGTAGGGGAACATTTTTTAAGAGGGTCCTCTGAGAATGCCCATTTGCTCCCCTTACAGGTGTTTTTTTGTTTTCGTCTATTTTCTATGTGTTGTACTCTGAGCCAAATATCTAAAGATAATTTAAATATGGTCTCAAAATGACAATAACGAATTTTGATTCTTTATAAGACAATTATGTTCAAGGTGTAATCAAATTCCAACCCACAGGAACGCAACCGATAATGATGATACTTTTTGAGTTGCTCAGAAACCTCCTGTAGCCAACAGGGTGGCAGATCTTCAAAAATTAGAAGGATATCCGAAACAAAAAGGACTCAAAGTTAGTCTGAGAAAATTCAGTTGAACATTTAACAGTTAAGTTTTAATCTGTCAGAACTCTTATCATAACACCTAACCAAAAATGTCAATTACAAACACAAAATTATGTGGAATTTTCATATCTATAAATAAATTAATAAACATATTTATTAATTGATGTTATAGAGAAACAGAGAGACAGATAAACATTTCTCTAAAGTTAGTAAACAGGTTGCTGTTGGTGTAAGCTCTAAAATTAACAATCATATAGATTTTGATGCTCTGGTTCTTACGGATCTAAGGATTTTTGTGAATAGTAATTTGCTGATACCTTTTATTTGGAAATTTAGTTTTCTGCATTATTTCAGCCTCAGATTATCAAATAAGTGAAGCTTTAGAAACATGTATCCAAACTTCCTCACATAGGGGTATGAAAATAGACAGTAAATGCAGGAAAAGAAAGACTAACCATGATGAATAAAGGTTTATATGAGATTATATAAAGTTAATTATGGACTGTAGAAGGGTGCCTATGTAGGTTAAACAATGTTGATAAATATTTATTGAAGTATTATTATCGCTTCTAGGAATGGGTGTTTCTATGTCTTGTATAAACATAAAATGTTGTATCTTTCACCCATTTATCAGTTTACAGGATTTTTTTTTTAATATGTATTTCATAAAATACAGGTAACTGTAAAAAGGTCAGTTTCCTGCTGTGAAAGTATTGTCTATTGACATACAGTGAATTTACTCAGTAATACCCACAATGTGCTTTAAATACTAAACCTTTCAAAACTAGTAGAGGGAAAACACTAATTTTGTAAAACCTGTTTATCCAACCAAGTATAACAAGTTTTGTGTCAATATTTATTTTAGCGATAAAATCAATAAAATCAGAATTTGGCTTTTTTATTTTTTATCTTTTAATAAAATCTTTAAAAATGCTGATTTTTAGAGGTCAGGTGTGATGTTAACATAACTAGTATAATAAATTAATAATAATTTCATCAAAAATATTTTGGGTTTTTCAGACTCATTTTAGAAAAATAAATCTGCATATAAGCTTAAGTTGATAAAAAGAAAGACACAACAATGTCAACACTGTCTTTTATTCAGCTATAATATAACAAAAAAATTACATGCAAATAAAACAGACACACCAAAGGTGTTAAACAGCTGTATATTCCACATGTTGAAATTGGTATGTAAAATGTTTCACCTTGAAATCCAAAAAAATATGTAAGGAACACTAACAGCAAAGAAAACATCCCAACTCTTTGACAAAAAGTTAAAGAAACTGTAAGACAGAAAGGTTTTTCCATTAATCTTTCTCTTTTTTGTCTACTTCACCCAATAATATAAATAAAATGTATTATCTGCTCTTCAATTAACATATACATGGAACCAAAATTACATTTTACAAACACAGTCCGACTGCTTCAAGCCAGATGGACAACAGAGATGAAGCAAAAGCATTTGATTGTTCCTTAGTGTTTTATTCAAATGGACTAAAGGGGTTATATGTCCATTCAAACAGAGCTGTGAGTCTATTATAGATTTCCTCAAATGCATTTGGGACTGCCTCTTCCATTACCTGCACTATGCCACTGGCTGGTAAGGAAAGGCTTACGGCTGCCTCAGTTATATCTTCAACTGCTTTACTAAGTGGTGTTGCTAACTCTGCCACATCAAGAGCTGGACTTATCATATCAGGACAGGAAAGAGGTCCTTTTGTTAGTCTCTCTCCAAAAAGCGGTAAAGTAATTATTATTGGGAGGGCTAAAGTAAACAAACCTTTCATCTGAAACTGGAAAGTGCCAAACATTTGCCTATGTAAAAGGATCCTTATTGCCTGTTGTCTGATTTCATCATCTGACAGGTTTTCTGGTGATCTTTTGATAAGCTTTGTCTCCTCTTGTATTTTTCTCTCCGTCTCATTGAGGTCTGCGTTGGTATAATACCCTCCATTGTTTTCAATCAGCATTTTGTCAATGGTGTTTAGCAACTCTTGCACCTGGAATTTATTACTTCGGTAATCTTCATCATCGTTCCAGTATCTGTTATCAAAAACATGGCAACGGCCTCCACACCTCTGTACCAGTTCCCTCAGTCCATCACTCTGATTTACATACTCTTCTATATTCATCTCTTCAGGGAGCTGGTCACCATGGGTGAAGATCACTATTGCATAGTTCAGAGCATCATCTGAGAAATATTCACATATTTTTTTCACAACCGCTTTTTCCTTCTCTGTGTACTTCTCCACTTTCAGAACAATCAGAAAGACATGAGGCCCAGGAGCGCACTCCAGCATGCATCTCTTCCACCCAAGCTTCACGGCTGTCTGAGGCCTGCCTGAGTAAAACAAACCAGGAGTATCAATCAAAGTGAGGGTCTTTCCATTGACGAGTTGGGTTTTTGCCCCAGACTCAAGCATCTCTGTCTCATTTAAGTCTTCAAGTTTGAAAACGTTTTTTCCAAAGATGGTGTTTGCCAGGCTGCTCTTGCCATTTCCAGTTTTCCCCACCAAGACAATCCTCAATGCTGTCGTCCCTGGATGAGAAACATAACATTTATTGGGTATGTTTGCAAACCTCTTGTTAATATTGCATATTAAGCTTGCCTATGTCAGTTTTGGTGCACCAAGATAGTTATGGTATTATCAAAGCATAACAAGAACTGGCTAAAATTGACAATAAAAATGCATTTGTATATTGTGATAATTTTCTTATAATCTTCTTGGCAATTTACGTTTCTGTGCATCTTTTCAAATACTGTATGCACAGTACTTTAAATATTCTCACAAATGTGCTTTATAAATATGAGTGTAGTGCCGTGCCTAAAACTACTGACTCTTCCTAGGTAGGTTCATTCTAGGAAAGCGGTGTTCTCGGTTATACAACATTTGACATTCTGTTTCAATACACTCTGGTTTTAAAAACATAATTTTTTTGTTTGTTTGGGTTCAAACAACTCTCCACACTTTTAAGATAAAATAATATAACTTACAGTAATATTTGATAAAAATTGTAATGTCATATACATATAAAAATGAAATTTAAGTAAAATTATTCAGTGGTAAGAA